ACAAAGGAAGTTGATTATGAAATATCTGAAGAGGAGAACGTGTCAATAATTCCTCTCTCTATTACAAGCTCGTATTGTAAAATTGTACTGAAAGACAGAAATCTCATTCAGAGTACCATACAGGCAGTTAGATAGCTGTCTCTAGGGTGGCACTGGATATAAATTGTCCAAGTCAACAGTAATTCTGTGAGCATGGTGTTAATCCCCTCTTCCCTGAACCCTCAGTACTGTACCCATAATTGTTTCTGCGCTGTCTGGGATATGAGCATAGCTGAGCATAGCACAGAGCTGCTTGACTGAAGGCTTTGTCTGCATTCATCTTGTGACATTAAGAACTTGGCAGTATCTTTTCACCTTAGACAAATTCTAAGAGCTAGGTTCAATTCTTATCCATTTATATAGAAATTCCATGTGTGTGTAAATATCTTAGCTTGTTTTCCTTTTTATTTTTTTAAAGATTTATTTTTATTATTTTTTTTATTGGAAAGGCGGATATACAGAGAGGAGAGATAGAGAGGAAGATCTTCCATCCGATGATTCACTCCCCAATTGAGCGCAACGGGCCGATACTATGCCGGTCCGAAGCCAGGAGCCTCTTCCGGGTCTCCCACACGGGTGCAGGGTTCCAAAGCTTTGGGCTGTCCTCGACTGCTTTCCCAGGCCACAGGCAGGGAGCTGGAAGGGAAGCGGGGCTGCTGGGATAGAACCGGCGCCCATATGGGATCCCGGGCATGCAAGGCGAGGACCTTAACCACTGCGCCACTGTGCTGGGCCCTTAGCTTGTTTTCTATGTCTTAAAATTTGCAATAAGAAAAATAACAATGGTTGTAAGTTTTTGTAAAGTTAATTATTTTAAATGAGCAGAGATCAAACACTTGAGAAGAAAATGGCTCAGAAATTGGAAAGAAAGCATTATGTTCTGCTACAGTTAGTTGGTGTCTGGCTGTTTCATTTTCCTCCTGAGTAAAGTAGGAACCATCAAACTCAGAGCATGCGAACATCCTGTACAGGAAAGGGATGCTATGTGGAGGAGGTGAGGGGGGCACTCAGCAGCCATTCTTTGAATCCTTTGGTGAGTTCACTTGAATACATTAAGAGAAGCAAGTCAAGGGCTGCAAAACAACTCTTCTTGGATGCCTTCCAGCCCTCTTCACAGAGCTCAGGAAAAGCTCAGCTAAGCCACATGCATTTTATGTTTTCCTGAGGAAAGAGTCTGCCTGATGGTCACTGGGTTAAGGAGTCTCCTCAGCAAGTTTTTATACAGATGCTAAAACATTCGCTTCACATTTTCCTTTGTATGAAAGGAAGCCCAAGGGAGGGTGTTGCATTTAAGTGCCAGCTGGAGTGGTGAGGCGCTGTGAGAAGTGAAGGTGCCCCGTCAGCTCCCAGCTACACAGAGATGTGTGTATCTCTGTGTGTGCCTGTAGTGTGTATCCGTGTGCATGCCGGTGTGTGTTTCAGAGATGAGAGTAGTGTGTGTGTGTGTGTGTGTGTGTGTGTGTGTGTGTGTGTGTGTGTGTGTGTGTGTGTGCATTTGTGCGTTTGTTTGAAAGAAGAGAGAGTAGTTGAAGGGTTTTTGTTTTTCTTTTCCTAAAAACATTTTTTAAAGTAAAAACTAAAGCATTTGCTGTTCATTTACAATAATGATTTGGAGTGTTCAGTGAAGCAAAAAGTCGTTTTTGAACAGATTTTGCCCTTTCCTTGGCCTGTCATACCCCCATTGTGTTTCTTTCAGCCCTAAGATTTACACTGAGTGAGTATTAACAGAGTACAAACCTGTAGTCATTGCGATTTGCATTCTGCTGTTTCGATTTGCATTTACTTGCTGGGAATAAATTGTTCCTTTGCTCGATAATATGTATGTCTAGATTCCTTGCTTATGTCTCCCCATAGGAATCATGTTACTTTTAAGAAATTTTACCTTGATCACCAAATTGGAATTTTCACTTTCATAATTAATGTTTTTCTACATTAACATTTTCCTTACATCTTCGCTGTGGAAGTTATCTATAATTACATTAGAATATTGTTAACATATGAATCATATAACACTCCTTCTAGGTTTAGCATAAACCTCTTTTTCTAGATTTCTGCTTCTGTTTTGGTAGGGATATGCACGGTACTGTTTCTTTGGTTATCTGGTTAATCTGTCTGGCTAAGAATTCATGGGCTAAATGATTGTGAGGTTTTCTATTTTAAATATCTTTAAGGGAAGCTAAAAGTTATATTTAATTTGATTTTTTCTCACAATATCATTATGGGAAAAATGATTCGGTAGCCTAAATTTCTTTTTTCTGATAGGAAAGAGCATGTAACACTCATGAACAAGTTTTTAATCACTTCTTACAGGCTTGTGTCTTGGTATGTGTTTAAACAATTTATGCAGAATGTTTGCAAACTATGCAAATATATAAGATGAAAATTAGCTGGATGCTTATAAAGCCAATTCTACCACAGCCTGATGAACCAGCGCCACCTGCTGCACACAAGATTTATTTTATGTTTGGTATTCAAGAAGAATCTGAGGTTATCTATGTCTGGGTCAATTTACTGAACATGTTTTCTAGTTTGTACGTGTGTGTATGTGTTGCCATACTTATTCATATTGACAGCAATGCTTACCTAAGAATGAGAGAGAAAACATGTAAGATGTGCAAACAATTAAAAAAATGTGAACTGTTCCTTTATGCTTTCTGTGATGTGTCTTTTATTCTCCAAATAGGTATAATATATTGTCTTTTTTAAAAATGTTTATTTGTTTTTATTGGAAAGGCGGATATACAGAGAGGAGGAGAGACAGAGAGGAAGATCTTCTGTCCAATGGTTCAACACCACCCCCCCACCCCAGCTGCTGCATTGACTAGAGCTGCTCCAATCCAAAGCCAGGTGCCTCTTCTGGGTCTTCCATGCAGGTGCAGTTCCCAAGGCTCTGAGCTGTCCTCAACTGCTTTCCCAGGCCACAAGCAGGGAGCTGGATGGCAAGTGGAGCTGCTGGGATACAAACCGGCGCCCATATGGGATCCTGGCGTGTGAAAGGCGAGGACTTTAACCACTATGCTATCGTGTTGGGCCCTACATTGTCTTTTACATATTCTGCTGGCATAAGAGTCAATACACAATGCTTTCTAGAATAGACCATTTTAAATATTTCATTCTAGGGTACCTGTAATTGAATTTTTATCAAATAATTATATATTTTAAACCATTCACTGGATTGTGCTTTCCCCTTTTTTAAATTCCTTTATCACTTAAATCTGTAGTATAAAAAATGGCTTCTAATATCACAAAACTATTTACATAACAACTGATAAAACAGTATGCTTTTATTAGATTGGGACCATTAATTATTCTTTTAAATGTTTGGGTTAATCTCATCTAGTTGTTACATTAATATACAAATACATGACAGTAGATCTAATGAAAGAATTATTTTTTTATCATTCGCATTCATTATCATTTTCAAGGTCTTAACTGGCTATGGCAATTCCCATCACTCATGGTGCTGCTTAGAGTATCATTCAGATCTGGCTTCCCAATTATCTTGCAGAACATACTCATATTAAATTATATTTGTCGTACTGATGCTTATTTATCTATTAGTGGAATGTCATATATCCTAAAAATAATAGTATGTGACATTTATCAAGACTTTGAACTCAAATAAACTGAAATAGAGTACAATTTGTTTCTAAATCATAAACCAAGTTCATAATTGTACAATTGGTGTATATCTGAAACCTAGGCAAATAGCCGAGGTGGTTTCAGTTTTTCATTCTAACTTGAGATTTGAAAACCAAAATACTGTCAAACTGCACCTTTCTCCCTCTTCTTTATATTTTTAATTTTTACTTATTTTATTCTAATTTTGCTCATTGATTTAAAACTATAACAGAATGTTTTCTATCTTCCTGTCATTATGTTAGGTGCTGTAGATTCATTCTGTGGTTAAAAAATAAGTCCCTTGGCTTTAGTGAGACCTCATTCTCATGAAAAGCAATGTGAGAGCAATTCTAGAAGAAAAAGGACATGAACGTTGGGTATCAAATAAAGTGAACCGAAGATCAAAAGGAACTGAAGGTTCAATAGTGAAGTGAAATACCAAAGAAAGTCAAACTTCAGGGGTTGGGACAAATCAAGGAAGACTTCCTGGAGCAAAGAAATTCTGAGCTCAAGTTGCAGAAAAGATATTGTTTTTCAAGAGGATAGCTAAAGGAAGAACATTTTAGGAGAGAACATAGGACTTTACAAGAATAAGGACATGATCAGGGAATCCAAAGTTGTCCAGCTCACCTGAGAATCAGTACTGAAACTGAAGTTCTCAGACAAGTAACTAGCTATTAAGATCATTAATAAGGCTCATGTATATGAGTTTGGAGTATACTCTGGATATGTCGATGTTTGAAAATATTTTAAGTGAAGAAGTGACTGTGAGTGGGAGAATGGAGTCACCCTGATTAGAAGCATCATTCTAGCACACTGTTGAGGGAGGACTTGAGTAGAGAAGGACTGGAGAGAGGGAGACTGCTTATGGGGAACAAACCATGGGACTGAGAGAAGGGAAGATGAAGTTGAATGTCTTGTGGATTACCAATTTATTTGAGAAAATTGTTTCATAATCAAGATAACATGAAAACTCTAAGAGGGGTCCATGAAAACTTTTGTTTAAGGCCTGAGAGGAGTACAGTGGTGGCACACACTGAAACACACAGCAGCACAGGTGCAGTTGCAGGTGAGGAATAAACAGAGAGAGGAGCAAGTTTACTACGAGTATGTTGAATTCATCCTTGTGGAGAAAACATCTGTGAGTGGCTGGCTGTATACAAGTGTGATTCTGGGCAAGAGGAGTGAGGCAAGAGACTACAGTTAGAGATCCTGAAATATAATTGGTATTGATCCTTAATAGTGTGTATAATTTCACTGAAGGAAAAAAAGTGGTAAGGTGTTCTGTATTCTAAGACATTTTTATTTACCTACTGCATTCTTCTTGCATTCTCCCTCAGAGGACTGGTATGAGCAGCTGTACCCCCTCATCCTCACTCTGAAAGACTGCATGGGAGAAGTCGTGAACCGAGCCAAGCAGTCCCTGACGTTTGTGCTTCTCCAGGAACTGGCATACAGCTTGCCACAGTGTTTGATGCTCACACTGAGAAGAGACATCGTCTTCAGCCAAGCAGTAGGTGCCCGCTATTGTTTGTGCAGAACAATGTGGGATTGTCACTCATCCATCCTTGCTGCTCATGGACTTTTCCTTTCTGCCATTTGATTGTAAAGATCTGATACCCCAAGGTCCCCTCATGCATATGCATGAACTGAATATCACATGGGGATAGTTTATAAGAGTTTAAGTATGTGTCTCTAAACTGGGGTTTGTGAAGTGTCTTGGAAATGAAGAAAACCCATTCTTGTATTATGATATAGGGAATGCCATAACAGTTGGGAACTACCTTGCAATGTAAGTGGCCAGCTCAGACTTGGCAAAAGAAATCATTTTATTTATACAACTTCCTTCTAATATATTTTTTTGTTTGTTTTTAAAGCTTAAAACATAAGACTTGATGAGAGGCTTGGCTGAACTACCTTGCCTGCCTATCCCCAACACTATTTATAACACCCCCGCCAGCATGCAATACAGAGGCACAATGCTGCCTGCCATACAGAGGCACAATGCTGCCTGCCTTCACACTTGTCACCCTTGTGGGTGAGTTTTATAGATGAAACATATGGAGGAAAAGAAACAGTGGGCTTCCCTCCTAAGCATTCCAGGGATTGAATATATTATCACCAACTCTCCATGCCATGCATTATCCACAGGCAATCTAATGATAAATGCTTCCACACAGGATCTAGACATGATTTCTGCCTTCTACATACTTCTCTATTGTAGCCTTTGAATGGCTGTGAAGTGAGTACTACTGTATCTACTCATGCAAAGAGCATTTGAAATTATTATTAAACAATTTCACTGTTATATGGTGGATAGCAGATGAACACACACATCTCTCTGGTTCCAAAGTCCACGCCGTGTCCCATTCTGCAATATTACCAGCACAAGATTTCATTTAGTACCTTGCTAGAGCAAATGATGTCAGCTTGTTTCAGTATGCCTATGTGAATAATTACAGTTTGCTGTACAGATTGGCATTCGTAAATTCAATTCATGATGCCTCTAAAGTCTTAAAATATTTAAAACTCTGAGTCTCTTGATCTTAGTAAATTTCTTCAATTTTTATTTTAGCTTGCTGGATTGGTTTGTGGTTTTATCATCAAATTGCATTCAAGTTTAAATGACCCTGGATTCCTGCAGCAGCTTTATACCGTGGGATTGATTGTACAATATGAAGGATTGCTAAGTACATACAGTAAGTATGTTGTAGCAGATGTTAAATTTATATTCTTATAACTAAAAATTTTAACATATAATATTTTAACATGTAAGTAAAAAATACGAATCAAATAAGAGCCAAACTATTGTCATACCATACATTGCAGAAATAAAATAACATAGTTTTCTCATTTATTCACCTTGTAACTTACTTTTGCTTCTCATTATGTTTGAAAATAGAATTATGGATTTTTTTAGAGTGGACACTTGAGGAGCCATCTGTCTTTTGTTTAATATGAAAGGCTCTTTTCCAACATAGTTTCAATGACTTGATATAAAAATCTTAACAATCTAATGTGTAGAATTATGCTGTTCAATACAGTAGCCTCATGTGGCTTTTTAACAGGTGAAATGCATTTTGTCCAATTCAATATGTGTGAGACATGCACTCTGGACTTCAAAAGACTAATAAAAAGAATCTCATACTAATAAGTAATAGTTTTATATTGATTTATAGTTGTGACATTTTGGATATCTTCGATTGGATAAACTATATTACTAGCATTAATTTCACCTATTAGGTTTTATGTTAAAAATGTGACTATCAAGACATCTAAAGTTACATTTGTGGATCACATTACATATTATTGAACATTGCTGGGGTAGAATCTTAATTATCTCCTTTTCAGATTTTGTCAGTGTATAGAAATATAAAATGAGCCTGAGCCAGGGCAGCCAGTCATACAGGTAGCCATCTCCAATATCTGTGTGAATCAAACAGCAATCTCGCCCATGAAAGAAGTCTGCGCTACACTTTGTTTCCTAATGGAGTTAAAACCTCGCTCCAGCCCTCTGGCCGATGATTTTTTTAGTTTCCTCAAAGTGTACACATTGACTTGTGAAGTCCTTTTAGATGATTCTTATTTCACTGATGAAAACCTTCCATCTCGGAAGAATAGCATTCAGAATGGATTCACTGCATTCAGAATCTCATTCACTAAAAGGCTAGACTAAATCCCAGCAGGGAGGTATAGTAGCCATGACATTTTATTCAGATAGTACGTTTGTAGCTCAGTGTATTTTCTTTCGTTTAGGTGATGAAATTGGAATGCTAGAGGACATGGCTGTTGGCATTTCAGATTTAAAGAAAGTAGCATTTAAAATCACTGAAGCCAAATCGAATGATGTCTTGCCAGTCATAACAGGAAGACGGTAAGAGATGCCCCATTTCCTTAAGACTCAACTTTTTAATGTATTTTGCATGAACTCCTCACAAAAGAGTCAAGGGGAATTTCGACACAGTTTGGGAAAAAGTCTTTTGATCTTTTTTTTTCCTGTTAAATAGATGCAGGTGACCTGACCAGGGGAAGTCTTTTAAAAAGGTTCCTAGATGTTTTTCTGAGCATTAATACATTGTAATGAACTCAATATGGTAATGTTCTCCCATGATAATGAGACATTCAAAACAATAGCAAGTATGAAAAGAACAGGATTCTCTTTATTAATTTGTGATCTAAAGCTCTCAATGTTTTTACATTTGCGGGAATCATTCAGTTAATAGCGTCATGCTTTTTGAAATGACTTTAAATTAAATTCAGTAAAAGCAGAGACATTTTAGAAAAGATATATTCCTGTGTCAGGGGCATTTGCTACCATTTTTCTTAATTATTTTTGACAATTCATTCAGACTGTGAGATTTCCGAGAAGCGTTTTGAAATAAATAGCTTTGAAGGTCAGTGTGTGATAAGCAAAATATCAAAAATAAGAATGATTGTATGTGGCATAGGCTTGCAATAGAAGAGTGTTAGTCTCTGATAAGTTGATTGCATCAGAAGTTCTCCAAGTTTCAACCATTCTGGTGTTAGCACTTTTAAAAATTTCCAGATGTTAATAAGAGTTGGGGAGAAGCACTGTGTATAACTTCTACCTTTGTCTCTCTTCCTCTGTATAACTATGTCTTTCAAATTTAAAAAGTAAGCAAGCAAGCAAGCAAACAAATAAGTAAGAAATAAATAATTACATTTTTGAAAACCCAAAGTGGAGCCAGGACACACACCCAGCTACTCTGCTATGTGGAACAAGTACCCAGGAGGAGCCTTAAACCACAGTACCAAATGCTCATTCCCAAATCATGAACTTGCAAGCTTTGATAGGTGAGTAGGATCAGATGAGCTCATCCAAGTGTCAGCGAATGACCCTATGACTTATTGGATGCTAATGTCTTTAAAAATAGAGACCAGTGAGACACAAACAAGCTTTCTGTCTTTTGCCATGTCATGCCATAAACTTTGCCAATACCGAGGCAATCACTGAATACAGGCCCTTTTTTTTAATCAGAACTTTGAGCCAAATTACCTTCTCTTAACAAATTGAAACAAAAACATAATTAAAAATTAAATATAGCCATAGATGACAAAGTATCTATTGTAAAGGCTTATGTTTTGTAGTTTATAAAAAACTTACATATCAATATGAAAACAAAATCCTGATTTAAAATGTGTAACATATTAGAACTGAAAAGATGTAAGTATGATTTATAAACACATCAAAACAAAAATGGTGCAGCCTCGTTGAAGATTTTGGCAGCCTCATAAATCAAGTTTCAATTGTCATATGACTATTAAAATAATTAACCATGTTTGCACAAAATTCTATAGCTGAATCTTTATCGAAGCACAATTAACAATAGCCAAAAACCATGTGGTAACTCAGGGACTATCAACTGTCACATGCATGAACATGATCTAGAAATAGGAGGCTGGTTTTAAGCACCAGAGAGAAACAAAATGCTAGTAGTGTTATCCAACATGATTCTTTACTTAGGAGAACCAGTACATTCAATCAAGAGACTATTGATTCCAATAGATACAAGCTTAATGAACATAAATTGATGAAACTAGTGTACACAAATAACTCCATGGCTAAGAAAGAAATTGTACTTATAACCCCCTTTAAAATAGCAGAGAGGAATCTCAAATACTATGGAATTAACATAACTAAAATTATGGAAGACCTCTATAATGAAAATTACAAAACTTTAAAAAAAAAGTAATAGAATAAGACATTAAGTGATGGAGAAATTAACCGTGTTCCGGATGGGCAGGATCAACATCATCCAAATGGCCATATTACCGAAAGTAATGTACAGATTCAATGTGATCCTGATAAAAATCCCAGCAACATTTTTCTCAGAAACAGGAAAGATGATACAAAAATTATCTGGAAACAAAAGAGACCATGAATAGCCAAAGATATCCTGAAGAATAAAAATCAAGGTTGAGGAATTACAATTCCAGACCTCAAGACATACTACAGTGCAGGGGTCATCAAAACAGTCTGGTTCTGATACGAAAACAGAGCAGACGATCAATAGAACAATAGAAACCCCAGGAGGGAACCTACATAGGAGTAGCTAACTAACCTTTGTTAAGAGAACTGAAAATAATCCAGGGGCAAAAGTCTGGTCTCTTCAACAAGTGCTCTTGGGACAATTGGATAATGGCCTGCAGAGATAAGAAGTAAGAATCCACCTGTCATCTTAGACAAAAATCAGCACTAAATGAATCAAACACAAAAATCTGCATCCTGAAACCATAAAACCATTGGGGGAAAACATAGGAAGCACTCTCAGAGACATAAGTATTGGGAAAGACTTCTTAGAAAGTCCCCAAAAGCACAGGTAGTCAAAGCCAAAATAAATAAAATGGGACTACATTAACTTAAGAAGCTTCTGTGTAGGAAAGGAGATGATCAGCAAAGTGTAGAAGCAATCAATGGAATGGGAGAAAATGTTTGCACACTACACAACTGACATGGGACTGATAGCTATGACACAGATAGCTTCAGAAACTCAGCAACAGCAAAACAAACAGCCTGAGAAGAAATGGGCAAAGTAAATGAGTAGATGTTTTTTCTCTAAAGAATAAATTCAAGTGGCTACCAGACATACGAAAATATGCTCACACTCCCTTGCTGTCACAGAAATACAAATGAAAACCATATTGAAATTCTACCTAACTCCAGTCAGATTGGCCTGTATTAGGAACTCTAATAACAGCATCTGCTGGTGTGGATGTGAGGAGAAAGGCACCCTCCTTCACTATTGGTGGGAAGGTAGGCTAGTAAAACCATCTGGAAGACAATATGAAGAGTGCTAAAAGAAATGAAAATTGACCTGCCTTATGATACAGATGTCCCTCTGCTGGGAATATGACCAATGGAAATGAAATCTGCATGTTAAAAGGGGTCATAGTCCAATATTCATAGCAGCATAATCAACAATAAAAAAGACATGGAAACAACCCACATGCCCATTAAAAGAGGAGTGGATAAAGAAACTATTGTATATTTACTCTATAGAATACTACTCAGATAGTAAAAATAGTGAAATTCTACCATTCTACCAAATGGTCCCAATTTGAGACCATTATGCTTAATGAAAGATGTCAATCCCTGAAGGACAGTATCAGGTTTTCTGTGATGTAAGGCAACCATTATGCAAAATGCAAGATCAATAACCCTTTTAATACTGCCTTTGCTACATCTCGTAGATTTTGATATTTGTGTTTTTATTTCATTCATTAAAAAAATTTTTTTCTTATTAAATTCTTCACTGACTCATAGATCATAGAGTGGTTGTTTGCTTCAAGAAGGTTTTTGATTTTCTTTCATACTACTTTCATATACTAACATGTTATTTAACTTCATGCTGCTAATTTTCTTTTTTTTCCCTCCTGTTGTTGATTTTGTTTTGTGGATTTTCATTTAAGCCAGTGTATAGGAACCTTATGATAGGAACTGCCACATCCAGATGTGGAGATAATATGCAGTATTCAACTATACTTTCAAAATAATGATGGACTCAATGAAACTATTAAATGTATCTTGAAAAAAGGATGCTGGATTCTTGTCATTGTTCATACCCACAATGGCAGAATACCCTTATGTATCGGAATGATGGACTTATCACTGATTATGGAGGACTGTTCTGTTGTCATGATTTAAGGGAAATCAGTGGGAGGATGGAGATTTGGAGATGGGGGAAGGGCAATTGCAGAACCCAAGGAACTGAATCAAAAAATAATAAAATAAATTTTTATAAAAGTGTGTGTGGATTTATAAATTGTTTTGTATCAAAATATACTGACATTTTAATAAAAATAAATAAAAAATTAGTACCATCTATTTCCTGAGTATACAAAAATGAGTTAAACCTGCCTCCTTTCCTGAATGAGCTCATAGTAATTAAAAGAAATTAAACATATAAGCAAATTCTTCTACTTCCTTATGCCAAGTAATTTAATAAAGAAATGAGTGAGTGATTTTTGAGTGAATAAACAACAGAACATAAGCACATAGCAGGCAAAAACCACATCAGTGCTGTGTTCTCACACTATTTCTTATAGCAGTGATTTCAAAAAAATGCATAATGCAAATTAAATATGTAATTCTTCCCTCTGTCCTTCACCTCCATCAGTGAACATTATGTGGTGGAGGTCAAGCTTCCAGCTGCGATGTTTGAGTTGCTACCTCTACAGATTAAAGAAGGACAGCTGCTTCATGTGCATCCAGTTCTTTTCAATGTTGGAATCAATGAACAGCAAACTCTTGCTGAGAGGTAAGCTTCAAGTATAAAATTGGTATTTGGTTTTTATTTACTTTTCCTTCTTTTAGTGAATGCTGAGTAAACCTGTGTTTCAGGAACACAGAACTTGGATATGAGAACAACATTTTCTAATTTATAGTACAAAGTTGTTTGGTACAGGGTAAAATATTTATATTGTGGGAATCATGTCTCAAGTGTAAATATTGCAAAAATATTGAGAAAAACATTGAAACTAATACTAATTCATGTAGCAGTTTTAGGTTTCTATGTTCATACTTATCACTGTTGTGAATTGATTTAATTTTGAAAAATTCATGGATTTGCAGTAAATCTAATTATCCTTTTTATAATATTTTTTGTGATTAATGTTACTGTCTTTTTGTAATAATTTTCTTTGTGGAACTACAAATGATTGTACATGATTCCAATGATTGATTGAAAAACTACTATTTTTGAGAAAAGAAATTTTATATTTTACATAGTTTATGAATAACAGCAAGTGTTGTGAATATTTAAAGTTCACATAACACAGTTATGGAGTATTTCAGCAAAGATGTTATCCATTGTTGCAAGGTGTGACTCGAAATGTTTCCACACAGGTAGAATTTTGGATACTTTCTTTGCTTTATACTTAAGATATTTTCTTGTGCATAACAAACTCTGTATCTCTCCTTCCTTCCTAAATAACCGTTTGAATTTGTCTAAGTTTATTTTCTGCATGACTTGTTAAATACATTGTAAGTTTTTGCAAAAATAGAAAGATTGTAAGCATTAGAGCCCTCTTGAATAGCAGTGATGTTCAAGAAGCCCACTGCCATCTGTTTTTTGGAAATTGTTTATCCTCCTCTACATCTTATCAAAAGATATTTCCTAGGCATCACCGATTTACATAATTTTAATTTGTCAGTAACAAAGTAGATAGCAAAGGTTTATATTTTATGCTAATTTCAAAGTAAGTGGAAGCTTTTAATCTCTGTATGGTACATACAAATCAGAATATAATTTTGTTCATTTTATTTTATAAGAAGCTCTCAGGGGCAATTAAATGTTTGAAAATCAGTATTCAAGATTTCTTTATATTCTAGTTATATATGAATATGTGTCTATCTAAAACCCCGAATTTACTGTAAGATATGCATGCAATCACACACACACACGTATGTATATGACTGATTTTAGAGCAAATTTAGTGTTTTAGATGACTAATATTACTGAAAATTATACAATCTGGGAAACGAATCAGTACTCTAAATTGGATATTTTACTATGTTGGAATGTAGAGATGTTTGATTTTGAATTAGTGAGTTAAAGCTTATGGTTGTGATTTTCAGAAATAAATGAGACTCGTGCATTTAAAGACTTTTCAAGGATTGGATAACACTGTATTTTCAAGTTTTTTTTTACACTGAATTATTTTGTATTATTCATGAGATTGTAACTACTTAAGTTGACAGTCACTTGGTTAAAAGATGTCTCTCCTAACCATTCAACAAATTTTATGTGTTAAAAAAGAATTTTTGAGAAACAAGATGGTGGAATAGGGTACGGACATGTTTAAGTAGACAGAAAATCATTCCCCAAAATGAGTTAGAGAGACTTCAATCCCAGCAAATAGGAGAGGACAGGTTGATGGCAGAGGGACGCCTGGAGACGTATGGACATGGGGAAACAGCAGACAGCAGAGCAGTGTTGCAGAAACTAGATACCCCAGTAGTGCTCAGTGATCAGAGCTCTACCAGTGGCCAGGTAGGAAGAGGAGTTCACCAGGAGCTCCGTAGGCATAGAACTGACCATTCTACTGATTTACTTGATTGGAATATGAGCAGAAGCAGAGTGGCAGAACCCAAGCAGGTGGGTGCAGGAACAGGGTGGATTTCATGGCTCAGATGCCCACAAGTGCCATATCATGTAGCATTTTGTATATTGAAGAAAAGAAAAGGCTGTGGGGCTGAAATGACATCAGTGAACTGCACAAGTACTAAGCCAGGGTAAAGCTCAGTCCCGGCTCAATGCATTGAACTGGTCCCAGAAGATAAACAGTACCAACTTGGCATCCTATAGGAGATGCACTTTCTGGGACTATGGGAATTGGACATTTATTCTCTAACTGGTGCTTCCAAGCCTTCAGATACAGAAAGAACAGATAGTGACAGAAAGCAGGATTTCTTATGAGTTTGTCAAGTTAACAAATACATATTATGGTTTGAGTCATGCCATAATCACAGATAGAAGGGAGTAAGAAGGATAGGAGAAACAGTGATTCACAGATAAAACTGGCTGCCTTTCAATAGGATTAGAGAAAACAGGAGCTTTCTCCTGCACTTTGAATAAGGGATAAGAATCTGTCAACTCAATTAGGAAAATAGACACTCTTGCCAGAAAGTTAAGAGCAGGGGAGGTGCGGGGCAGAAGAAAGTGAGGGCTGCCTTGTTTGTAAAAGGAAAGTCTCAGAGGCATTGTTCACTGATGTTGAGGGTACATAGTGTAACTACATTCCCAAAAGATGTTTCAGAAGTAATAACGGAGAGGTTAAGTACAAAACTACAGAGAGTGTTCTTTACCCCCACAGGGAGAAGAAAGGCAGATCTGTTGGCGATGAAATGCATGCTAGATGAACTTTTCCAACATTTCAGACCTTTCACAGTACAAGGGGGCATGGGATGTGGCTAAACTTAAAGTTAACATGCGTTAAATGAATGGGAGATTTGACTGTGTTGTGGAGGGTACACTGAAAGGGGAGAAATTGGAAGAATATCATTTGACACTTTGAAAGCTTTGAGAGAGTGCAGAATGCGTGTTGTTAAATACCTAATAAAATGTGGCCCACCTAGCTCGGGCGGTAGAGCATGAGACTCTTAAATACCTAATATATAATGACAGAATCCCAGTGAGAAGAAACTGATGTTTAATTGACCAAAGTATAGTAAGAAGAGTGGCAGCAAATTAGGACATTTAAAATAGTGTGTAGATACTGAATCCGAGTTTTTATGACAAATATTGTGGATAGAATCATGTAAAAAAATTTTTTTTTCTTCCAGTTTAGAGTTATGTTGGGTTTGAAGTGGGATGGGAGAGTCACATTGAATGTTTCATCTGAAACTTAGAAAAGCTGGTTTGGGTGGAGATATAAGCTGGAAGCTAATTACACAGGATCCTTCTGTAGAATTGGACAAATAGACTCCAATGTTGAACTGGGAAAATTCTCAGAGGGAAGACAAGCTAAGTGAGGCATTTGAAAGGAGAGAGAGGACACTGCTGTGGAGACGGTGGTGTTACGGCCTGGGTCTGAGTGAACCAACCTCCAGGAGGTTGAAAGGCTCTGCCTGTGCCTGCAGACTGAGTGTGCTGGACTGCACACAACCCAGTGTCTGGCCCTGGTGTTCGGGACCATTCTGTAGACTCTCACAGGGAAAATGGAAAATCGGACAGATAAAAAGAGGAAAAGGGGATTCTTTTTAAATACATAGAGAAGTAAAGTCCCCACAAAGAAGTACAAGATGGACAAGGTAAATTGTTATTAGCTGAGTACCAAATAGGCACATGCACATAGACTCACACTTTATATTTGCTAGTTAATTTCTCTACACAGTTGATGGTTATGAGAATATTTAGGTGTATCAGAGTGGATTGGTTGAATCAGGTCAGTGGTGACTAGAACATCTTTGAAATCATCATTGTGAAGTATTAGTGTTGCTTTCTATGACAGCCTGCCTCCAAAAGTAAACTCAGCCTTCATGTAAAAAAAAATGTTAATTTCTAGTGCTAATTTATACTTCATAATTGTTTCTCTGCTTCTAATTTTAGGTTTGGAGATGTCTCTTTGCAAGAAAATATTAATCAAGAAAATTTTGAACTGCTAAAAGAGTATTATAAAGTATTTATGGAAAAAATGCCTCCTGATTGTAAGTATGCAAGCTACAGAAAACAGCAGTGTTCGTTTCTTGTTTATAAGTCTTCAGTAGAGGTCAGGTAGAATCAAAAAAATAAAATAGCATATATTGGGAAAATTAAAATGATTTTCAGTTCATCTGAAATAAACAGATAAGCAGAGCTGAAAACTTCATTACATTGATTTTTTAAAAATGTATCAGCTCATATTTTGACATTAATTTTAGTGCCATTAGAAAGTGCAAAATAGTTAAAATATGGAACTTACAAATAGAAATCTCCATTTATTCTAGGGAATTTTTTTCTGTAATACTTAACCATGTAAACAAGTTTAAGAAGCAATTAAATCTTATGTTACATTACACATATCACATATGTAGAAGGAAAAAATAAAATTAAGTTTGAGGTATGCAAGTTATTATTAACTGGCAGAGATGAGGTTTCCAATTTGCTGAATATTCTTATTGTAATATTTTATGTGAAGTACTTAAGGAGTCCAAGCCTTTATAAATGTTTTGCACTTTTAGATTTTTAGTTTAGCCATTTATCAGTTTTGCAATTGTTCTTTTTTTTCTGACAATAATAAGGCACATACCATTTAAGCAGTCCAAAGTCAGATGATTAGGAGTGTATTTAAATTCTTGTGTAAATAGCATTACTGTGTTGAGATACTGAATATTTCAAATTGATAAGGAATCAGGATATGCTATGAAATTTTTTATCCAGAATCAGTAATGAAAGTTGATGTGTCATCTAATCTTAGTTGATTTGTTCTCTAGTGTGTTTTAAGACTTCTTGTAACCAAGTCAATTTGCAGCAAAATATGCAATAGCATATGTATGTTCATGTGCTTGCAGTTCCAACTTAAGCTTGTATAATAGGATTACCAGATCACAAGTATTGTGAACCAAAAATTAATCTGAACAGAATGTTTTCCATTGTTATTATCTCCTAACCAATGCAGTATCACAACCATTTGCATAACATTTATAATGTACTAAATACCTACATGATTTAAAGTATATGACAAGTTATGTCTTGGCTTATATGTGAATACCATTATATGCAAAAGTACAATACCATTATATACAAAAATCCATGGATTTTGGTATCCATGAGAATCCTGGAAACAGCTCCTCCCTGGATAGCAAGGAACTGCTGTGATGTGTATGTAAGATTGGTACTGAAGACAGACTTGGCACTGGCTGCTCTCTCTGGGCACTGTGTGTTTAATGTCTTCCTCCCAGCTTTCTTGGTCTAGTGTTACAGCTCTCAGACAGTTGGTCTTCAGTCATGAACTAAGGCACAGGAAATGTTCAGGAGTTCCCCCCTTCAACACTTACCTGGGTTAATCACTGGTCTCTATGAATAATGGGAAATTTCGGTAGGATAAGTATCAGTGCTTCTTCCTCTTCCTTCTCTCATCTTCCCGTTGGGCTTGGTGATCACACAAGTGTTTGCTCTTTATCCCCGTTTATCCCCTCCCAAAATATTACAGCAGTTAAATTTCACAGTATCATTAAATAGGACAAAATGCAATAGGAATTTTCTGTAGATCTAGCATAAACTACTTAATATTTTAGAGGCATCATTACATAAGTCATAGGATCCTGTCCTTAATCGAAACTGCAGATAAAGTGTTTCTCTCTCGTTTGAAGGAGTTGGGATTATTGATTTCTCGCATTCTGTCTATTTCTCCAAAACAAATGCTCGTATCTTTTATATTTTATCCAAGACCAAGCAGAAGGGTGTTGCCATAGAGACCCATGGGAATTCCAGCACTCATGGGCTCCTCTATTATCATGGTGAGGGTGAGCTGCCTAGCATTGTGAGATAGGAAAGAATGAGTTGAAGTTTCTTTTTTTATGAAGATTTATTTATTTTTATTACAAAGTCAGATATACAGGAGGAGGAGAGACAGAGAGGAAGATCTTCCGTCCGATGATTCACTCCCCAAGTGAGCACAATGGCCGATGCTATGCTGATCCAGAGCCAGGATACAGGAACTTCTTCCAGGTATTCCACACAGGTGCAGGGTCCCAAAGCTTTGGGCCGTCCTCAACTGCTTTCCCAGCCCACAAGCAGGGAACTGGATGGGAAGTGGAGTTGTGGGGATTAGAACCGGCGCCCATATGGGATCCTGGCACATTCAAGGCAAGGACTTTTAGCCACTAGGCCACGCTGCCAGGCCCATGAAGTTTCTATGAGTTGTTGTAACTGTAATATTCGAAATCTCTATGAGAATTGCATGCAAAAAATATTTTTTAGAAAATAACATTTTTTTAATGAAAGTAAGTAGACCGTTTTCATATATAAAATTTTGCTTACATTTTCTTGGAGGCCATGTAAATATCTAAAACTTGTTCATTTTTGTGTATCATAAAAGATTCATAGGATGTGTTGTATGGTTGTGATAGCTTGTAATTTAATGGCTAAAGCAATCAGTAGATAATCTGAACTTCTTTCCAGAATTATACTTTCTGTTTCGGAGCATTGATCCTTTTCCTAAAAAACTGAGGGTTTTTTTTTTTTTCTCTGCTTGTTGCTTGTTTGTTGATGATATTCAGTAAGTTCCACTCCACTTGATTGTTCCCAGCATTTCTTGATTGTTGATTCATTGTCACAGATTTCATTTCTGCATTAAGAAAAACAAATTGTATTCTTTCAATGTCTAAAATTAGCAAAAGATATAATAAGTTTTGGATAATCAATTTTAGAGAAATTGTTTGATTATGTTTCTAAAACCCACACACAGAAAAGAAAAATACATATGTATTATAAGAGTGTCCCTAAATATAAAACAAGAATGACTAGGGGAACAATTTCTCTTCAAAAGTAGAAAAAAATGAATTCAGGCAGAAGAGAAGAATATATTTCAGAACAAGAGGAATAAGGACATAAATGCATAGGTGAAAGAAGAATGAAGATAAAAAATAAGCCATTTAATTTAGTGAATTGTGAATCACTAATTTTGGTGAAAGAGTTTTAATAAAAAAATCATGGAATGAAACTACACTACTAAACACAGGTTCAGTAGGGAAACAGTGTGAAAGCTGCCTATTTTGTAAAGTGAATACAATGGAAAAACATGAAAACTATTGTCTGAAAACAATACTATCAAGGGACAGGATTTTTTTTCTTCTCTGATTCTCTTCAATTCAGTTTTTCAAGATGGTAGGCTCCTGCATGTCTAAAGATAGGTAATAGTTTCAGGGTGGAATCTCTGAACTAAGTACCTATACTCTGGATCAGGGTTGGAAGGTTCTTGATTAAGCAGAAATGAAAAGACCTGTGGAAACAGCCAGAAATCCAAGAAGGAGCCCAAGAGAAAGCAGAAGGCTGGACTGCCAGTATGTGGCAGAGGCTGAGTTTTCCGAACAGCAGGAGAAAGTCCTAAAATGTGTATTAGTCAGGTTTTCATTGCTAAGATTAACTACCTAACAAAAGAAAGCTATTTATGAAAGAAGGTGGCTTATTTTGTAGTTTTGGAGGTTCACAGTTCACTATCAGGAAGACCGTAATTGTCCAGCCACCTGATGAAGCTGGAGTGCGACAATGGGAGAGCACAAGTAAAGAAAGGATAACATAGCAAAATTGAAAGCAGAGAGAAGGGTGTACAAATCCCAGCTTGGTCTTACATCCATGCCTCTCAGGAGAACCACCTTCCAAGGTCATGCCCTATGACCTAACAACTGCCCACTAGGCTGCAGCTCCCAAATATCAAAATAATTGTTGAAGTTTAAAAAAAAATAGATTGTATTATTTATTAAAGAGTTAAAATGAGGAGAGAGAGATTTTTTCCACTTTTCCATCTGTTGTTCACACCCCATACAGCCACAAGTTTTGAGCCTGATCCAGGTTGAAGCGAGGAGTCAGGAACTTCGCTCAAATCCTCATTCATTCACTTCTCCCATGTGGGAAATAAAGATCTGGTCCTTAGACTGCTGCTTTTTCAGGTGAATTACCACGGAGCGAGATTGGAAGGGGAGCACCCAGGTTACAAATGGGTGATTTGCTAACAGGATATTAACATCACAGATGTTATATATGGCATCATAACATCATCTCTCCACACATCATACTTAGATCAAGTCTCCATTATGAATCCATGAACCATTATTAGTAACTGTGTGATTGATCAGTAAAAATAAATAAATAAATAAATAATAAGCAACAAACTTCTAAAACACAAGCTCTTGTGGAATGCATAGATAAGTGTTCAGCGTAAACCCAAAGGTCCTTTTAAGAAAGTTCATGGAAAATGGAATTAAATAATGTTTAATTTAGTGTAAAACATTAAAAGGTATGCAGTCTGTATACAGTACACATTTTGCATTAATTTTTTGAAGACTTTGTATCATGATTTATAGAAAAAGAAAATGTGTCAGGTTTGGTGGAAGCGCCTTTAGTATATTGACAATTCCGGTAGAAGCCACTCAGAACTCTTTGAGGGTTGATTTTTTTGTGTACAAATGAATTACGAAGGGTTCAAAATCTAGGTTAGAGTTGGTCTTCAGAGCTGTGCTGCTTCATCACTGTCTCTGCTCTCCTAGAGTCCTAAAAAAAAAAAAAAAGAAGAAGAAGAAAAGATATGTTTATTTTCGTTGGAAATGCAGATATACAGAGAGGAGAGAAGGAGAAACAAAGGAGAAACAAAGATCTTTCATTTGGTGATTCACTCCCTAAAAGGCCACTGGCCTGGAGCTGAACCAATCAGAAGCCAGGGCCCAGGAGCTCCTTGTGCATCTTCTGTGTGGATGCAGGGTTCCATTCACTGCTTTGGGACATTCCCTGCTCCTTTCCCTGATGACAAACAAGGAACTGAATGATAAGTGTAGCAGCTGGAATACAACACCCTTACAGGATGCCAGCACTAGCAGGTGGAACATTTGCCATTTGAATCACCACTCCAGCCACCCCAGAGACCTGTTCAACAGTTTCGGAAGAAAAAATAACCTTTAATACAAATCTTGTTCAGATCTACTTTTTGTTAACTTTAGTAAGATTAATCTAATTGCAGATCAATCATAATTTTCTCTGATATCTTGTCAATGCTTTTAGTATAGTTAGTGTGTGGTTTTTTTAAAATATAGAATGTATGAAAGCCATGAATGCATAACGAGAACTCCAATGTTTAGTTTACTGAACTAACATTTGATTAATAGGATGAAATTTTGTTAAAGCTAAGGCATTTTGTGCCCTTTAAATTTACATTTTCAGTTAGGATTTTTCATGCTTTTATGATTCAGTTTTTTGTAACTGTCCTTTAAAAATAGATCAATGAAACAAAATTAGGTCAAGTCAGGCTAAAACAAGGGAAAAAAATTTTAATCCCAGAATTTATATTAAAAAAAAATAGTAGCCCTGCAGTGAGATAAGTAAACCTGCAAATGAGAGCTTTGTCCAGAAGCAGGTCAAAAAGAATTTACTAAAAATGCAATTTGTATTGTCAAAGAATGGGCTAAATCACTCTTGGTATTTTGACAAAATTGCCATATGACCATAAAAAAAAAAAAAAAAAAAAACCTTTTCCAAATATAGAAGGGAGCTCTCTAGCAAATCAGGATAAGTTTTTTTGAACAGGACAAATATGCACTAGCATATTCCCCAGAAACAATTGGATCTTGTTTCCAAAAGAAATGAAGAGAACACCATGGTATCATTCACAATCACACTGCATGTAAAATAAACTTAGGAGCTGCTTTATTCAATTGCACTTTGGACACAACACATTGTTTAACACCAGAATCACTGAGATATGTCAACAAATGTGTTTTACTATGAATTAAAAAAAAAAAAACGAGGAACATGATATAAATTAATTGTTGAAATAAAGTTGGTAATAAGTCATTGAGAAGAGTTGAATGCATTCATTTTGGCAGTACATATACTAATATTGGGTTGAAAAGAATGCAATGATATTTGCTGCACTTAACAATGAAAATTGGAGCTGGAATTGTGGCATAGTGGGTTTAAGCCTCAGTCTGTGATGTTGGCTTGCCTTCTGAGTGCCCCTGAGTGCCAGTTGAAATCCTGTATTCTTCACTTCTAACCTCATTCCCTGCTAATGCACCTGGAAACCCAGGTCATGGGTGTTTGAGGAGTGAACCATTAGATGGAATATATTTTCATATCTCTCATTCTCTCTGTCACTCTGGCCTAAAAGACTTCAAAAACAAAAAAAATTAACGCCATTTACATGGATATTTCCTTCAGTTATTGATTGTTTCAGGAGCTGTGATCCAAACTAGAAATTGTGATAGAATCAATACTAACATCTCAAGGTATGTGTTCCTGCAGAGAAGGGCAGCGCTCCATAACCAGGAGGTTAGGTCTGAATACCTAGCCATCACTGCTTTCTATAAAATTGGGGTTAACATGTGTGGATACTTGTCCCACTGCTGCCAAGTTTCTTGGGTGTTTCAATGTCATTTGAATCTACCACCTCTGGAATCAGCTGCTCCAAGCCTAACAGACTCTGAAAGTGATCTGAGTTTATAGAGTCAGGATGGGTGATGAGACAAATGACGTGAATAAACACATACACATGATAAACTACACAAGATCTTCAAAAAATATGAATATTTCTGATTCCCAAAGAGACTTTCTGATATAGATGAGACATTTTCAGATTCCAAACTAAATGTCAAACTATTAACCTTTGTCCCGCATATGATAATAATTTATTTCTTCTGAGCAATTCCCATTCATGTTGAGAGACCCTTCCAACACTCACAACAGAAACATCAGGGATATGGCATGATTCTGTCCACCGAGGTTCTACTATAACAAGGCACTGCCAGTCTCTGCCCCCCTCCTCTTTTTCCTCTGTTTTATTTTCATAATCCATCAATGTTATGTTCAACCATGTAAGCAGGGATTTCCCCACAAGTAAGATCAGTTGGAGAAAGGCAACAAAGTTAAATATGATAGCTTATGCTTAAAAAAATTAAATATTTAGTGTCTTTATCTCTCAAGTCATGCCACAGTCAGGAAGACAAGAATTCTAGCCATTTAGAAATCCATCTGCAGTCCATGGAGTCATCCAAGGAAATATTGGTATGCAGTAGCCTAGGTGATAGTATCACCAGAAAACAAAACTTGGTCACAATACCTGGTCTAGATTCTTAATGATGACTTTCCAAAGGAAGCAAGAATCATGGTCCAAGAAGCAGCCAGTATGTTAGCCAAGGAGAAGACAACTATACCCAGAGGCCTCTGAGAAGGAGAAAGTTGTGGACAGAACTTTGCTACTTCCATCCTTTTAGCCTTTTATCTCCATCTTGACTCTTCATTATCCAAGCTTGAGTGTAATCCAAGTGGTGCCAAGTTGCTTGGGAAGTTAGATGTCCTGTGATATAGTGCAGAAGGGGAAAAGGTGCAACTATGAGATTAAATCAACAGTTGGCCAACACAGTCTACACCTTCGCTACTTAGCCCCTCTGCCTACTATACACCCATACAGGAGTAATTTCTAGCAAATCTTCATCTGGACATGGGAAGTCATAATTTTGTATTTCAACAAGCCCCTGTCTTATTCTGCCGCATTATAAAACTCTGAGAATCACTGCTTTAGCCTTGTTAAGATGTTAAAAAAAACTAGCTATTAAATACACTTTATATTTTTATATTTCTGCATTTTACTTATTCTCTACATGTAGATACAGAAGAATGTGAAATTGCCCAGAATGTTAAAACTATTTTTCTTTTATTTATTTGATTTTGAACAAATATTCATAGTTGACTGACTTAAGCATGTGAAGCAATTCAAATGCAATGATTCTGTACAATGCGAAATTACCTTGATTTATTATGTTAAGATAAGTTAATGTGTCTTATTTCCCAAAGTACACATAATAGTTTGAATATTGCAGATTTAGGGGGAGTTTTGTCAATGAAATGGAGCTCTAAGGATTTTCCTAAGTGAATGAATATCATTCCAGTGAGAACTGCAGATTAACTTAGAGCTTGATCCATTGACTGCTAATAATCTGTGCTTCATTGATGTCTCATCCTTGACAATGCAGGCACTCACATACAGAAATAGAATATACAGTTAATTAACTTTTATTTTTATTAAAAAGTATGTATATTTGGAATCAGATTGCATTTAAATTTTTCATATACTAAGCATATGTTTATTTATTTTTTTGTTTTTTGTTTTAAAGATTTATTTTTATTATTTTTTTATTGGAAAGGCAGATATACGGAGAGGACAGACAGAGAGGAAGATCTTCATCCGATGATTCACTCCCCAAGTGAGCACAACAGGCCGATGCTATGCCGATCCGAAGCCAGGAGCCTCTTCCGGGTCTCCCACGTGGGTGCAGGGTCCCAAGGCTTTGGGCTGTCCTCGACTGCTTTCCCGGGCCACAGGCAGGGAGCTGGAAGGGAAGCGGGGCTGCCGGGATAGAACCAGCGCCCATATAGGATCCCGGGCATGCAAGGCGAGGACCTTAACCACTGCGCCACTGCGCCACTGCGCTGGGCCCTAAGCATATGTTTAGCTTTCTTTTGCATACACAATGAGAAACATTTAACAGGAACTGAGATTATAGGAGGAAAGTATGTTGTATTACAGCCCAGCCTCAAGATTGAAAACATCTCCAAAAGGGCAGATGAAATTTATATTTTGAAAATTGATAGTTGTTGAAGTTTAGCACACATGCTGCTGAAGTGAGTGCTGCTGTTAGGTTAATTTTTTTTTTTTCTGCTTGGTTTTAAGTTTGCTCCAGCCAGATATTTATATACACCAGCTTCACTTATCCAGATTTCATCCTTGTTACATTCTGTGTTCCGTTTTTGCTTTCATCTTTCTTCATCTAGTAGACAGACTTGGCATAACAAAATGTTTCCACTTTCACCACCCAGCTTTCAGATCACGATTGTTTTCTGCAATCGCTCATACTGTT